CTCTCTTGGCACTCTCCTTGGATGACGTAGGTTCTGCCCAGACTTCAACCCTGGGACTCGCAGTCTCCCCTTTCACCTTCTCAACATACAATAAAAAGGTTGGCTGGCTGTTTGACTCAAAGCTCGTTCTGATTTCTGCTCATTCCCTTTTCTGCAGCATCATCATGACCATCTCCTCCACGCTTCTGGCCCTTGTCTTGATGCCCCTGTGCCTGTGGATCTACAGCTGGGCTTGGATCAACACCCCTATCGTGCAGTTACTACCCTTAGGGACCGTGACCCTGACACTCTGTAGCACTCTCATCCCTATCGGGTTGGGCGTCTTCATTCGCTACAAATACAGCCGGGTGGCTGACTACATTGTGAAGGTAAGGCCCCTCTTCCCTTTCCATACTAGCTTGGAGAGCCCTTGATCTCTGACCCACAGCAGAAATGTGAGGAAGTTTGGAGAAGGGGGAAAGGAAGAAAAGGGCTTGGAAGTAGTTGCATGGATAAAATTTTTTAAAAAAGGTTTATGCTACGAAGATAACTTCCACTTTTGGGATTCCTAGAATAATAGCTTTAATTAAGACACAGCTTAATCAAAACCAGCATAAAAGAACTACCAGTGGGCCGGGCGCGGTGGCTCAAGCCTGTAATCCCAGCACTTTGGGAGGCCGAGATGGGCGGATCACGAGGTCAGGAGATCAAGACCATCCTGGCTAACACAGTGAAACCCCGTCTCTACTAAAAAATACAAAAACCTAGCCGGGCGAGGTGGTGGGCGCCTGTAGTCCCAGCTACTCGGGAGGCTGAGGCAGGAGAATGGTGTAAACCCGGGAGGCGGAGCTTGCAGTGAGCTGAGGTCCGGCCACTGCACTCCAGCCTGGGCGGCAGAGCGAGACTCCGTCTCAAAAAAAAAAAAAAAAAAAAACTACCAGTACTCATCGGGATGAAACAGATCATAGAGCGGTGGGGAAGATGACAGTGTAATTAAATGGCAACATATTTTCCACTAATTGTATATAATTAAAAATCGAAGCAGATTAAATATAATTACTTTAATAGAATTGGTGCAGTATTTTAGAAATGCATGGCTATCTTTTCAAAAATGGAACTGGAATTCTGAGAAACTCCATAGTAGGTTCCTTTAACATTTTATTAAATTTTTAAAAGTAAGTTGATACTAATAGGACAAAAGTAATGGAAAAGTTACATTGTAGTAATAGAACACACAAAATATTCGCTTTAAAGCACAAAATAAAATCGGGTCCTGGATAAATAATGGAGATTATATTGCCCTCACTAAATGTGTTTCTTTTTCTTTCTCCATTGCAATATTTATGGCTTCTAAAGCTAGTGAAAAGATGGGGGATTTCTGTAATTTGTGCAATATTTCTCCGAAGGCTTTGATTTTTTAAAAAATCAATGCTTTCTGTAGCAGTAGAGATTTTAGTAGTTTAGTAGTAGTTTAGTAGATTCTAGTAGTGGACTGGAGGAAAAAAAATCTGTAAAATTAAGCTGTCTTTGAAAATTCAAAAATAGTAGTGAAAAAGAATAAACCATGACCAGGATGCTGACTTCAGGTAATTAATCAAATAAAATACGTAACTATTACTGAAAAATGCACAGGCAAATTCCTTTGGACAAATGAAGAGAAAAAGAGCCACCTTAATGTTTCAATTATGTAGATTCAAGAAGACATAATCTTTTGTTTTACTTATTTTCTAAAGTAATCTGATTATATAGTCAGCTTTTATTAATATGAAAAGTAGAGAGTTCTTTTCTGTGCATATATCCAGCCCTGAGTAAAAGAAATCCTGCTCCATAATAAACATGTATATGTGAATGTAAAAATATATGTGTACATGTAAATACGCATATATTAATACCTGTTGTGTATACTCATACTCTTGAGATGCATTAAGAACTTGTTAATCTTAATCATTAAGCTAATGCTATTAACGTGATGGCATTTACTATAAAACCTTAGGAAGTCTAAGAGAAAGTCAGTCAAATGACCTACACACCAAAAACAGAAGTATATTTAATATAAATATATTAATAAATTAATGTATTTAATATTCAAATATAATAGATCAATAAGATTAGCTACCTTTGAATTTAAGGTTAACCTCGCCCTATTCTTTAACACACTATTAAGAAACGGTTTATATAATTGTTATACCTTTGCAAACACTTCAAAATGAGCATTCAATGTCAATGCTTGCCCAAATGATTTAAAAGTTCTAAGGGATTTTGGAGCCAATATTTCAAAATGAAGAAATCAGATTGTCAATGCTTTTAATGTGACATACTTTGAAATGGTATGCTTTTACATGTAATAGCTTGGTTTCTGCCAATTGTACATCTGTAGTATCTGTACCTTATATAATAATTATTGCGGCATCCTCTAGGGTAGAGTTTGTGACCAGCTGATAAATTTTAAATAATTTTTTAAGAGTGTAGAGTCATGCCAGTCCCAAAGACTGCAAAAGGGATATCACAGCTATCCAGGGAACCAGAAGCAACATTTAAACTGTTCTCTCTGGATCTAGTTTCCTTCCCCTGCCCACTCCTCATTAAAAATAATAAGTTAACTGCCAATAAGAAGGAGGAGTAAGAGAGGAATTTTTAGGTTTCCACCTTACTATTCATACAGCCTGTTTTATTTGAATGAGTGAAATGTACCAGTCACAACATCAAGATTACATGTTTTATACAGAAGTCAATTGTACTGTATCTAAAATTCATCTATTGTAATAATACCTAAGCATCATTAGAGACTTACAGATGGGAGGTTTCTCATGAACAAATGAAAAAGGGGAAAGTTGCAAAATTGCAAAGAATTCTTCACATCTTTATTTACATTTTTTTCTCTTACATAATCTAAGAATAGGTAATTGTTTCAATATTGCAAGCAATCCTCTGCAATATATTTCCAGGGTTAAAAAAAATCACACACTGAGCTTCAGACATTTTAATCAAGTTTCACAAGTTTTAACTCACGTAAAATGAGAACCAATTTCTTATGGAAAACATGGGGTTCAGTTCAGGGAAAGTAAATATCCACTTGTCTGCTCTAATGGTCAGACTATACCTGGGGTATTAGGCTCAGTGCTAAATGCCCTGTTTTTTTTTTTTTTTTTTTGAGACAGAGTCTGGCTCTGTCGCCCAGGCTGGAGTGCAGTGGCCAGATCTCAGCTCACTGCAAGCTCCGCCTCCCGGGTTGCCATTCTTCTGTCTCAGCCTCCCGAGTAGCTGGGACTACAGGCGCCCGCCACCTTGCCCGGCTAGTTTTTTTTTTGTATTTTTTAGTAGAGACGGTGTTTCACCGCGTTAGCCAGGATGGTCTCGATCTCCTGGCCTCGTGATCCACCCGTCTTGGCCTCCCAAACTGCTAGGATTACAGGCTTGAGCCACCGCGCCCAGCCAAATGCCCTGTTTTTAAGAGGCACATTCACAAACGAAACACATGTTCAGAACAGTCAGGATACCAAAACAAAGTTAGGTGATGGAGGCTTTAAGTCGAGTAGCCTTCCCTGATAACTGGTTTTTAAGCTTTTGAAGAGCTGTTTTTCAGAAAAGTTTTTTTTTTGTTTGTTTGTTTTTTTTTTTTTTTTTTTAAGAGCTGGTCTTTGTTGCTCCTGACAGCCTATATCCAAGTCAATGGCTAGAGGTTATAGAAGGCAAATTGTCCCTCAACATAAGGACAGGCCTCCAAACAGTCAGAGCTGCCCAATGTGGCTCTGGATGCTTCCTGAAGAGGTGGCCTGCTCGTCTTCAGAAATATTCTGTCAAAGGTCCTCCATTTTGTGTTGGAGATCATACTAGATGGGTGTTTTCTTCCCTGAGCTTAGGATTCTCTCACCTGAATTCATCTTCAACCATCTCATTGTAATTTTCTATTACTAGGTTTCCCTGTGGTCTCTGCTGGTGACTCTGGTGGTACTTTTCATAATGACCGGCACTATGTTAGGACCTCAACTGTTGGCAAGTATTCCTGCAGCTGTTTATGTGATAGCAATTTTTATGCCTTTGGCAGGCTACGCTTCAGGCTATGGTTTAGCTACTCTCTTCCATCTTCCACCCAACTGCAAGAGGACTGTGTGTCTGGAAACAGGTAGTCAGAATGTGCAGCTTTGTACAGCCATTCTAAAACTGGCCTTTCCGCCGCAATTCATAGGAAGCATGTACATGTTTCCTTTGCTCTATGCGCTTTTCCAGTCTGCAGAAGCAGGGATTTTTGTTTTAATCTATAAAATGTATGGAAGTGAAATGTTTCACAAGCGAGATCCTCTAGATGAAGATGAAGATACAGATATTTCTTATAAAAAACTAAAAGAAGAGGAAATGGCAGACACTTCCTATGGCACAGTGAAAGCAGAAAATATAATAATGATGGAAACCACTCAGACTTCTCTCTGAATGTGGAGATACACAGGAGCTTCTGTCTTGCTGAAATATTGCTTCATATTTATGGCGTGTGGTAGTGCACATGGTTAACATAAAAGATGACACTGGTTCACATCATACATGTAACAAATCTGTTCTTTTCATTTTAAGGTTTGCTGGTGTATTAACCAAACATTGTCACAAATTACAAATCAATGCTGTAATATAATTTGCACCTGGGATGGCTAACCTGAAGTCTGAATTAAATGTGCTTTTTAGTTTTTACCATCACCAATTTCTATGACTGTTGCAAATACAGAAACTTTTAGAAAACAGAGTCTTGGAAATGTAGAATTTTGGCGCACTATCTTATGAGTAAAACCAAGCTATCTTTGTTAAGCATAATTGAGTTTAGTGTAATTGTTGTTAAAAAAAAAAAAAGTGTGCTTGCTCTACTTAAAATTCCTGACAATGTTGAATTTTGACCTGTATTCAGAAAAATTCCAAAACGGGTCAGTTAAATAAGGAAATATACTATTTGTCAAACCAGTATCAGAGAAAAGTTACATTAATGTATTTGATTATTTGATCTGGTATCTACTTAGTAATGAATAATCAACATTTTTTCTAGTGGACAGGCCATGTTCTTTTCGATTGGTCTTCTGCATTTATGTAAACACACCCCAGATCAATTTATCTTTTGGAGGAATGATTTGTTTGGGAAATTTTGCAGAACTACTCTGGAGCAGAGCAAAATGGTACCTCCGGGTCATCACTGGGACTGGGGGAAAGGACACGCTCCAGGGGAGAAAACAATTCGCCTAGACGAAGATCCCTAGGTGGTTCTCCATGAACTCGCCGAGGGGGCTTAGTGGGTAGTCTCTCGAGCAGCTCTGAGATTAAACTATCATCTGAGTTAATGAGTAATAACAGACCCAGAACAGTTCCCAAACCTTGGCACTTTCGCTCCTTTAGCCAGAGGCACCCAGCCTAGCCTTGGCTTCCTGGTGCGGGGAATGCGGGAGAGGGGGGAGCGAGGGGAAGGGGGAGCGGGGGGAGGGGGGCGGTGCGCAGGCACCTGGAACAATCAGGGCACCGGGAGTAGCCGACTCAGCTGATGCCGGTGATGAATTTCTCTCATTGAAATCCTACCCATCTCGGGCGCCTTGGTTCCCTTACGAATCAGCCCTTTCATCACAAAGAAAGCCCTCTTTCCAGATAATCTAAGGGTCATTGTGCCAACATCTGGGCGTGGAGAGTTTCCGTAGGGAGAAGGACGGAGAGGGGCCCCCTCGGCGGGGACGCGGGCCGATGGCTGGAAGGGCGTGGAGGGCGGTGCAGCGGGCGAGCCCCAGCCGAGGGCCGTCCCCGCCTCCACTCGGCCGCCCGGGCGAGTTGCCTATTTAGGGTGCGGCGGCGGGCGGCAGCGGTGCGCCCATGGCGGCCCTGGGGGACGAGGTGCTGGACGGTTACGTGTTCCCGGCGTGCCCCCCCTGCTCGTACCCGTACCCGGCGGCCACCAAGGGCAAGGGCGCGGCGGGCGGTAACTGGCAGCACCGCGGCGGGGGCTGCCTTCCCGCCTCCTCCCCATCCTCGGTGGGCGCGGCCTCGTTGTCCTTACCGGGCCGCGGGAGGCTGACAGCCGCCGAGTACTTCGACAGCTACCAGCAGGCGCAGCTCATGGCTCTCCTGGCGCATGTGGGGCCGGGTCTCGGGCCGCGCGCCCGGAGGGCCGGCAGCTGCGACGTGGCGGTGCAGGTGAGCCCGCGCATCGACGCCGCGGTACAGTGCTCGCTGGGGAGGCGCACGCTGCAGCGCCGGGCCCGCGACCCCGAGTCCCCGGCCGACCCCGTGGCCGAGGGCACCACGGGCGGCGGCTCTAACTCCCAGCAGTCAGCCCGTCGAGGCCTGGAGCAGGGCAGCCCCCAGAACGGCGCCCCGCGGCCCTTGCGCTTCCCGCGCACAGTCGCCGTGTACTCGCCCGTGGCCTCGCGCCGTCTCACCACCTTCCTGGAGGGACCCGGGGCCGCGGCGGGCGAGCAGAGGTCCGGAGCGTCGAATGGAGAGCGGGGGCCGCCGCCCGCGAGGGTTCAAGACCCAGAGGAGGGGGAGGTGTGGACGAGGAAGGCGCCCCGGCGGCCGCAGTCCGACGACGACGACGGCGAGGCCCAGGCCGCTGTCCGAGCGAGCTGGGAGCAGCCGACCGACGGTCCGGAGCTGTCGCCGCGAGAGGCCCAGGACGGGGAGGCGGCTCCGCGGTCGGCGCTAAGGAGCCCGGGGCAACCTCCGCCGGCAGGGAGGGCCCGAGACGGCGGCGACGGACGGGAGGCGGCCGCCGCGGGAGAGAGGCCGTCGCCACGGAGCCCGGAGCCGGGCAAGGAGCGGCTGCGCTTCCAAGTAAGGCCTGGGGCGGTGAGGGCACAGGAGAGCCCGGGGATGCGGGTGTCTTCCTGGGGCCGGGCCCTGTGACTGCTTCGGGTACACTTGAAGGTGTGGCGCTTCCTTAAGCGTGGCCACTTCCGTGTTTCCGAAACAGCCAATGCCCGCGACAGGTGTCTTCCCCCACAGCAGTCTCTTGTCCCGACAGCCTGACTTACTCGCCGCGGCTGCTTCACAGGCTGGCCAGGGCAACGCCCTTAGGACATTCACAACCCTCACATTTGCACTGTAAACCTTGGGCAGTGGGCGTGTAGGCCAGTCCTGACCGCGTGGTTGGATGACCTATGAGTACGCACAACTGAACTTCCGGAGCACTTGCAGGCAGGAGAGTCGATTCCGAAGAATCCCCCTCTCCCATTTCTGCACTAGATGTGGCAAAAACCCTTCAACTGCTGAGATTCTGGTTAGCAATTCTGACTTCTCCTTTACAAGCTTCCAGGCTATTGGAAAGCTGGAGCTCCTAAAATGCCCCTTCCTAGGAATTTGCTTTGCTTTTAAAAAGCACCCCCACCTCAGAAATCCAATACTGCGAAAGCATTTGGACTGCTCAGTATTGCCGCCCGATAGCAGCAGGCCGAACCTTTAAAGGGCTGGGGCACGCAGAGGGCAGTTGTGACCTAGCAGAAGTGGAAAGGCACAAGAGGTGGTAAGAAGCCCGAGGGAGTCCTTCGCGGTCTCTTCCACGGCCATCACAGGCTGGTATTGCTTTTGAGGGGCGGTGTTGGTGGCGGTAGGCTGATTGTGTGAGGAGTGAATCGAGAGGCCAGGGCTTTCCAGCGTGGCCATGCACGAGCTGTGTGTGATCTTAGGCCAGTCATAACCTTCCTGGACTTAACAGTCAGTCTCACAGGTGAGCAGACTGAATTAAGTGCTCCCCAGAGTTCCTTCCAATTCTAAAAGCCTAACTCTAAAAACGTGTGTATAACTGGTTACTGACTGGGAGGGAAGAAGGGAAGTTTAGATAACACTACTTTTGTTCATATTGAATATGAATTATGGCTTACGTACAATTTCGGTTCCTGGCACTACTGTTTGGGAATTAACTAGCAGCATGAAGAATGTGATCTTGGTGAACCCCTTAAAGTTCCTTGGATGTGGAGTCTTATTTTTCTTCAGCTTAATACCTTTCATGTGTGCATAGTCTAAGATCAGGCTTCATCTTAAAAGGCCTCCCTGAAGAATCCTAAACTTCAGAGAACTGTTTAACTATTATGTCCCTAATTATTCATTTATCAGCCTGCCTTATGAACTGAGTTAATCTGGTATATGAACTTTAAGGCCCATGCTTGCTTGTTTGACTAGACTATTAGCTCACTTAATTACTGTATTGAAGAGGCATACCCAAACCTGATCCTGCTTTCTTTCATGATCTGGAGTGAAGTTGACAGTTTCAGATATCAAGTAGATCCTTCCCAACGTCTGGAAATGAAGGATAATTCAGGTCTTATGTTGGTTAAACTGACATATCCTGTTGTTCAGTTCTTAGAGCAGAAATATGGCTATTACCACTGCAAGGACTGCAACATCCGCTGGGAGAGTGCTTATGTGTGGTGTGTACAGGGAACTAACAAGGTAAGAAATACCAGGTGACTGGCATCTTCTTGCTGAAAGTGTCAAGGCAATTTTGTTTTATTTTCTTTCTCATCACAGGTTTACTTCAAACAGTTTTGCAGAACTTGTCAGAAGTCTTATAACCCTTACCGAGTGGAGGATATCACCTGTCAAGTAAGTCAGATGTTTTGCATTTTGTCTGACCTGGGCTGTCGTAGAGGGTTTTTAGTGTAGTTTGAGTATACTTCCAAAAAGAGGCCAGGTCCCCAGACCTTAGGTTTCAACTGGCTTTTGTTAGGAGTGGTAGAAACAATACTCACCTGGAAAACGGGGCCTTGGTGTTAGCTTCTTTCTGCCCTTGCAAATCTTGCTCTTGTTAACCTCTTCTAAAACTGTTAACCTCACTTGCAATACGGAAGAATACTTGCCTTACTTGCTACTTAGTCAGATAATATAAGAAAATTAACAAAAACATGCTTGTCAGCTAACATGAAGTAGTCAAGGTTGACTGTTTTACCGAAATGCCTCTTAGGAAGCACAACCTCAAGGTATTGAGTCTAAGCACATGGGTTAGTTTGTCTTGCCTGAAAGCTCACAAAGGGGGACAGTTTAAGATAAATCTAAGTTGTCTAGCTTTATGGGGAGTTGACTGTAACGGTAAGCAAGCAATATGTTAATTAAGCATTGCTTAAGCACTTGCTTGCTATTAACTGTGCTAAGGGGCTTAGCTAATCTTTAAGAGGAAAGTGTCTAAATTCGCCTCTTATCACACAGCTAATGGAGTCTGAATTGCCAATTGAGACAGGCTAATCAATACACTTGACCCACGTTGGATATTTAGAAGCATTAACACCCTGCCGTGGTGGAGAGAAACTAAGTATGGCAAGCCACTTAGAATCACTTAGATCAGGGCTGGGCATGTTTGTAAAGGAGGATGCCTTAAACACTCTGCTCTTGGTGTTCGTTGTCAAATTCATCCCTGACTTGTTCTCTACCCTTCCTCTTAAATTGTTGCAAAAGAAACTTCACAACTCATAATTGGATCTGATGCAATATTAGCAGCACTACAGCATGGTTAAACACCCACTATTCCTAGCCCTGTCATTGCTAGGTAGGTAGGGATGTAGAGGGAAAACAAGATTACTACGGGACCTTGCTTAGAGTGCATTCAATAAGTACTTGAATGGACTAGAGAAATGTTGAAGTCCTAGGAAATCACCAAGGGTTTGTCTTCTGTATGCCCTTCTGTATTTTTTATTCCCCCAGAGTTGTAAACAAACTAGATGTTCCTGCCCAGTAAAACTTCGCCACGTGGACCCTAAACGGCCCCACCGTCAAGATTTGTGTGGTAGATGCAAAGGCAAACGCCTGTCCTGTGACAGCACTTTCAGCTTCAAATACATCATTTAGGTGAAAGTCAGTGTTGCTGTGCATGCACTGATGGAGTAGATGAGTGAGCTTTTCCGTGCCTCTCCTCTCCACCTCTCCCTTCTCAAAATACTTCATGAAAGGCAGTGTATTCTGAAAAAGCCTTCAAATAAAGGTATTGCAACACAATTTATACATTGCATAAAATCTGTCTTTGAAAATAAAGTTTCAAGAGCGCTTGTCTTGTGCTAACCGTCTGAGCCTGTCACTTCACCTTTATGAATGCTTGCTGATGGCAGAGAGTGGGCCAGGCTCTGAGTGAGGCTGTGGCTACTTGGAAAACAATTTAGTGGGGGCTCGTAGACGAGGTCTACTATTTAGGCAGCTCTGGAGGACTGAAGCTTAGAACGTAGTTAACTGAATAAAAAGCCACCTAGAGATTGTGCCACTGCATTCCAGCCTGGGCGACAGAGCAAGACTCCGTCTCAAAAAAGAAAAAAAAAAAAAGCTGCCTAGCTGTAACATTAAGGCATTCTTTTGGGAGAGGTGGAGGCAGAGCCATTTCTTGGTTGCATGAGACCGTTGGGAGGTTAACGGTAGAGTAAGAATGCTGAATGGCGGTGATGGGGTAGGTAAAGGCTTTAGTGTCCGGGTGACTTTAGGAAGTAAGCTACTAGGTAGAGGAAGGCTGGGAAAACTAACCTGACTGACTAGTCCGTTTCACAAATGTGGCGAAAGTGGGGCTTGGAACAGGGTGACTGTGGGCAAATGGCTGCTTTAAGACACTGAATAACCCATCAAGTAGACTTTGTGTTTCTTCAAAGCTTTTTTTTTTTTTTTTTCTTAAAGTAGGCCTCCTAAATGTACTTATAAGATGTCAAGTTAGAGGCGTAGGCCTTAGCCTTTGTCTTCACTGACTTGGTGCTAGTTGGGATGCCAGACTCTTAACTGCATCTAGTAGCTTCTCATGACAACACTGAGGCCCCACTGCCAGAATGCTCCTAGTTGAGGATGGGACTGAGTTTAGAGCCTCAAGTGCATCTGATGAAATTGAAGTTGTAGTATTGGTTTAATTAGAGAAACCATATAATTGGAACCATGTGCTAATTATGCCTCCAATTGTCTAACATCCCACTTAAGTGAACTCCTTACTACCTTAGGCCATAGCACTAAGTCTTAACATTCTTGGACACTTGTTAAAAGGGGCCAAAGTGGGTTTGAGGTCTCCATAGAATCTGTATCTCGAGGGGAAAGGCCCACCTGCATCGATGTGGACGGAGATGGTACGTGTAAAATGCAGATTACTGGATACCTGTCCTACCTACATTTAACAGGCACCCCCAGCTGTTACTAATGGAATTGAAGCATGAGAACTTGTGCTCAGCAGAGAAGAGGTGGCATCTCATGGAGCTTCTAGTACAGCGGGCAGATGGCCACTAGTTTTTACATCAATGTAAAACCGAGGTTCTGACCTGTGATAAGGACAATCTGCTAAAGTGCCTCTGCAGTAAGGAACCTGACTTAGGTCAGGGAAACCCTGCCTAAAAGAATGACACCTCAGCTGAACTCCAGTTCAAATAAGTTGAATGAGGCAAAAATGGCGAGGGGAAAATTTCCAGATAGGGCAACAATCTGCAAAAGCCCTGTGGTAGAAAACCACCAGGAGGAGGCCACAGTGGGAGAATACTCTGGAGGACATGCCAGGTGAATCTAGCAGTGCCAGGCTAGAGGGGTGTTTTAGGCCTTCATTAGGAGGATGGTCTCTACTGGAGTGCAGGGGCTACTCACAGGCATTATCAGGGTCCACCACAGCCTCAAGCTCCTGGGCTCAAGTGATCCATCCTCCTGGCTCAGCCTCTCAAGTGGCTGGGACTACAGGCACTTTGTCAGGCTGCACTAAAAAGTTTTAAAGGTATGCTGGAGATAGTAGGGCATGGTGACATATAGACTCACTTTTAAAAAATCACTCCAGCTATACAGTGGATACCTGTAGATAAGAAGACTTGCAGGGACCAGATAAAGTGGTGGCAAGGCTAAAGAGAAATGACAAGAACTGGTGTGGGTAAAGGCGATGTGTTTTTTACTGGTTCTAACATGTTCCTGTTATTTGGTTGGGGGTAGGTACAGGGGTAGGAAACCCATTTGTACTGTGGCATGCAAGTGATACATAATGTCATCAATAGCATTTGCTCAATGAATGAATTACATAAAAGGTACCTGCATTGAGTCCTAAGAAATTTCCACTGGCTATTAATATGGTTACATTGTTCTTTAATATTGCTAGCTATTAATTTTCCTAACATAGCAGCTAACCCTATTTTTCAGCTGAGGAAAGTAAGGATCAGACTGTTTTACTTAGGGTGGGTGGGCATGCAGATATTCAACGAAGTGGCACAAAAACATGCCATTCAGATTATGGTGATTACATTTGAGCAATGAAAAGGCACTGCCAAAGTCTTTATGTGTACAATCCAAAAACTTACAAGATGTGAGTAGATTTTAAGACAGGTTGAGAGAGGTTAGAAGGAAATACTCCAAGATGTCTCTGGGTATCAAGAGAAGTAACTGTAGTTTTCTTCAAATTTCCTTTATTTTTTAAAGGAACCATGGATTACTTTGAAAAATTAGGGAAGAAAATGCTATACAATACCAATAAATGGATTTTAATACTGTCTCTCTCCTTTTGTTTAGGTTATCCTGGTGTTTTATGTGAGCAGTATTCACTCATAGGCCTGGATGAGGATCCTTACTCTTCTCTTGAGTCTTTTTCCAAGAGAGCATGTAATGATTTCCTAAATTTAAGGGACATTACGTGTTTTGCCACACCCTCTATTTTACATCACTAAAAGTAGAAAATATATTTTAAAATAAGAAATCCTGTGGTTTTGTTTTAGAAGCAGCATGAAGAAACTGCCAGATTGCTGCTTTTACTGTTGTCTTGTAAGTGTACTATTTAAAAATGATAACTGTAGTGTGCAAAAGAAAAAGGTTGTATGTAAAAACTGGGCTCCAAATAGAACTACATCAGGTAATAAATTAAGCACTGGATATATTTAATAAATACTAACTTGGGATTCAGAGGCTGAGGAGCAGAGAAGTGTAGGTTGGAGGAAAATGCTGTTGCAGAAGGCCATCCTCATGAATTTGTTTGCATCTTGATTGCTGGAGGTATATTCATTTTTATTAATAGACTTAGTTACATATAAATAAACGCAAAAAGCAAGTATCAACTGAAAGGTTTGGTTGGGTAGTCAACTGATTTTGTTCTTTTTTAAGGCAATTCAACGGGGTAACATTTGAAAGGTTTCTAAATGATGCACACTCTAATCATTCATTCTTTGTTAAAATACAACACAAACCAACAGCTACAATGCTTTTTATTTTTAACAAAAAGGATGTAAGGAGGGTGAGAAAAACAGGGGAGAGTAAGATAGGATGTAAAGTGTAATGTATCTCTGGACACCATCCCTCTCTGCCTGCCCCACACCCAAAAGTTTTAAATAATTTAAAGGATACCACTTACAGTACCAGAACACCATCAAAATAATTGTCTTTATCAGGGTCCAAAAATACAGTGATTATGAATGAGCCGTGACCAGATAGGGAATTTTACTGGATATGTAACTGTGGTCAGCAGTCCAATGGTGTGCACAGTGCCTTCAGTTAATGCACTTGAGCATACGTAATTACATTTCTGGCAGGGTCCACACCCCCAAGAAAAGGTAAAGCTAAGCATTTCATTTCTACATTCTAAACTCTGGAATCACAGAGCCCAGTTTAAAAGAAAAGTCACAGTGGATCACAGTGGATAAGAGATGTATATAAAAAATACAAGGTGTTTCTTTCAAATCAGGAGTTGTGGGACTACATTCTTTTTTTTTTTTTTTTTTCTTTTCTTACAAAATGCGATTTAAAAAAGGGTAGAGACTCCAGTTCATGTTATACTACAGACTTACACAGTGAATAAGTATACTGCATGTTTTGGTAGTCAGTCTTCAGGCTTGCTTTCATTTCCCCTAGCCCTAGGTTTCTTTCTTTAGGGTAAAACATGTGAGTCCTGAATAAACATATAAAAAAATGCATTTGCAGCTCTTTTCTTGAATTCTGCAGACTTCAAAGCCTGCAAGTCATATATTCCATCATCAGTGACCACAATTTTTTCTTTAGCTTTGTACACCTATTCTTATATAACAGTGCATGGCACAAATGTACAAGAAAATACTGGTTTTAGTCTCTACAGTTTCTATATGGAGTAAAATAAGTTAACTTTTCTAATGAGAATAGCTGACAGGCAGCATACATCTTTATTTTACATTTGAAAGTCTCTGCAGGCATCTACTTTGGTTAGTTATCAACAATCGTAACATAAGCACTGATCAGAGAACTGAGCAGCATTCCAATAACGTTAACAGATATATTATTTCTTTTTGAAATACTGGGAAAGCCCAGTTTTAAAATATTATTAAAATGTTCTAACATTTACATACTATGAAGAGTTAGATCTAATAAAATAACATTTCTTCAAAAATAATCTTGCAGTGCTCTTTTAGGCATGCTCTGAGACGTTATAACCAAACATCCATACCTTGAAAATATCACATATCCACACATCCCAACTCACACACACATAATTCCTTATACAGACCAAAAAACAAACCAAAAAAACCCAAACCCTTATCCCACATACTGAAAAATCAATGGTTTTTGTAAATGAGTCTTGATGTGTATAGCTGACTGCATGTTCATCTGGATGATTAAGTATCAATTGCAGGTTAGGTTTTCGACTGCTAGAAATTCAAGCAGCTTTGCAGGTCTTCAGCTAAAATGAAACAGCCTTGATTTCAGCCTCATTTCACCCGCTTTTGGATGTTTCAGTATTGGAGGCCATTATTGCAAACATTCTTGGAATTCTTTTCTTTCCCCAGAAAGTAATGTATTTGTAGGCATCACTTTTAGCCCTTTTCTTTTCACGTAGGTTAAGTAATTAAAAAATTCCTTCTTCATACAGTTATTGTGGGAGATGTTGGCAGCTGTTAAAATACCAGATTTTTTTTCTTTCAGAGCTTTGTTTTTGATACAGTTTGACATTAGTTAAACTAAAAAGTAGATGCTGCCAGAAAGTTATCAGTGAATGCAAGGGTCCATAAAAGGTGCTTGGTTTAATATTCTTCATCATCTTCAGTTTAGTTTCTTTCCTAAAGGCCTGAAGTGTCTCAGAATCCAGTGCTCACCATATTTCCCATTGGTTTGGGCTGTGCTAGAAGTTGGTATGATTGCACCATGCGTAGAGATTCTCTTATTTCCAGATTAAGTTCCATCAGTTTGTAGTTGGCTTCTGACATGTCCAGGTTAGAGCCTATAACTGCAAAGCTTCCTGTCTGGCCCAGCGTCTGATGATGGAAATATATATGTAACAGTGTCTGCACAGGGTCATCTTCACAACTGCCAAAGATATCACTGGGCCAGAGAGATCTGAAAATACACAATAGTTTTTCAGTTCTGAGACTTAGGCAATTATTAGTTAAGACTAACTCAATTTAAGTTAAATACCTATAACAACAACATTTCCTTGTGAATAACATGATCTGTTTTAATATTTGAGCAAATATTACTCAAAGTACTACCTGAAAGTGAAAAGAAATCTAAAATTGGTATCATTTCAATGGCAACTGTTAAAGATACTCATGTTTTCCTTTCATAAAGACATGATATGGAAACAGCAAACTGAAAATGAAAACCTAGTATTACTAAACTTCCTGTCTAATTTAAAGGCATCACCTTTAAATCCTGTCACATTTTACCTGAAAGCTTTGACTTGTACTACAGCTGATATAAATTCCTTATTTTTCAAAGTTTCAATTAAAGAATGAATGGCAGTTTCTATGGTAGTTTGTGCAGCTTTGGAAATGTCAATTTCTTCATTTTCAGAAACGGACTCAGCTTCTTTGAGGATACTTTCCAGTTGGGCAAGTTCCTCTGACATGTTGATGACCTAAAACAAATACATCTTTAAGGATCTATTCGTATGTTTGGTAACAAAAACATTTAGTTGGCTACAAGAATATACCTGATGGTAGTACCATTGTTGCTCTTATTTTAAAGAGTATTTTAAAATGCTTGCCTTGGAAGAAAGGGCAGTTAATATTTCAAGTACTCCATTCTGTAGGAGCAAATAAATTCCACCAAATAGTAGTCTTGAAATTAAGTGTTCTTGATAAAGCAACAAGTTGTAATAAACAGATGTCTATATTGGTTTTAATATTACTACATTTTGGATAGTAAAAGTACATTTACTGTTATGGGGGATCATGCAAACTATGTGACAGTCAAGTCTTTAGATTTTAAAAGATGATTTACCCCAGGGTATTTATATAAATATAAATATAAATATATATATATGTTTACAGATTTAGTGACTAAGAAATTAAATCATTTCCCCAGTGATAGTTTTATTACCAGCAGATGACAAGGGGGGAAAAAGACTAAAGTTAACATCTTTGAGGCTATATTTTTTAACATGTTTATTCTTGTGTGCATTAATAGAACTATAACAATATGGGCTGGTGGTGGCTTATGCCTGTAATCCCAGCACTTTGGGACGCCCGGGCAGTGGATCACCTGAGGTCAGGAGATTGAGACTAGCCTGGCCCACATGGTGAAACCCTGTCTCTACTAAAAATACAAAAAAGTTAGCTGGACGTGGTGGTGCACACTGGTAGTCCGAGCTGCTTGGGAGGCTGAGGCAGGAGAATTGCTTGAACCCAGGAGGTGGAAGTTGCAGTGAGTTGAGATCATGCCATCGCACTGTAGCCTGGGCAAAAGAGGGAGACTCTGCCTCAAAACAAACAAACAAACAAAAACTATAGAAATATGAACAACATGTTGGGGGAGGGGAGTTGATGATACAGTTCTATGTCTGTATTGAACTGATGTGCTTTATTTGACTATTTTGATTTTCTGAGACAGGGTCTTGCTCTGTCACCTGTGCTGTAGTGCAGTGCTACAGTCACAGCTCACTGCAGCTTCTAACTCCTGGGCTCAAGTCATTGTCCCAGCTCAGCCTCCCAAGTAACTAGGACTACAGGTATGTGCCACCATCCCTGGCTTTTACTTGACTTTTGATTATAAATGATCTGTTTCTGCTATGGAAGCCTTTAAGGTCTGGAACCTTTTAAAACTGCTGGGTATCTGCTGTCTTATTTACTCATAGGTCCTGACATAGCACATCATTAAAAAACAAATTATTCCTTAACTGGAAAAAAAAAAAAAAAGACCACTCTAAGTGACTTTTGACTTAAGCTATTCTAACAACTAATAAATGTATATTTTAAAAATTTTCTAGAATCAGTTACTGATGCCTAATACAACTGAATATTTACCTCTGCTTCATTTTTTATTGTATTTACTTGGTTGATAAGTTTACAGTAGGCCTGGAACAGAAGCAGCAATTGAAAATGCAATTTATATAATCTTCGGCAGAGCTCCAATTCCTAGAAATAAATAACATTACATTAAATTTAGGTGTTGTTTTCTAGACAGCATATTTCCAATGAAAATTTATAGTTAAAATTGTCTTGTCGTTTATTTTTCTGCAGTAAGCAAGTTAATATGGTGTGAAGCTGATGAAAGGCAGGCGAAATATGCTTTAAAGACTAAGATTAAAATAAAAACAAATATCACTGCTGGTTACATAATTCAGTTTTAATGTTAAGCACATTTTCACATTCTACAAATAGACTGTTTCAGCAGGCAATTAATAGGATACCTTAAAAAGGATTCATTAGAATTTAAAACTTTAAATTCATAATTAAAATAATCTACAAATGCAAAGACTTTTGCCCTCATTGAGATGTAGATCTCACTGCATTTATCAACAAATGCTTGATAAAGCAAAGTGAAACCAGATAACCGCTTACCTAAAAAAGTAAGAAAAGCTGTCTTTTAAAGTGAGATCAGTTTTCTAAAGAAAACTACTTGGTAATCTCATTGAAATGAAACTATGAAATTAACACGTGGGCTGAGCATGGTGGCTCACGCCTGTAATCCTAGCACTTTGGGAGGCCAAGGCGGGCAGATCACTTGAGCTCAGGAGTTTGAAACCAGCCTGGCCAATGTGGTGAAACCCTGTCTCGACTAAAAATACAAAAAAAAATTAGTGGGGCATGGTGGTGGGTGTATGTAATCTCACCTACTGGGGAGGCTGAGGCAGGAGAATCGCTTGAACCCAGGAGGCAGAGGTTGCAGTGAGTCAAGATCATGTCACTGCCTTCCAGCCTGGGCAACAGAGCAAGATTCCATCTCAAAAAAAAAAAAAAAAAAAAAAGCACTTTTTTAAAATTAAGAAATTTAAAAGGAGATATGTTTAAGAAAAAGGTGACTGCTAATTTTATGAATTTTAACATCTATTTTAATAGAACCAACATTTCATGGATTAGGGCTTTGCAAAACTGAAGCACATACTACTTGTAAAGTAGTCCATGACAAAACATTGCTAGGTCACAAATGGACAAATGGCAGATGAAAACCAGTTTGTCTGGCAAGGGTGAGTGGTCTATAAATCAAGACAGGTCACTTACTGCTAGTATTTCCATTTGCTAAGCAAGAAGGTGATCAGGTCACAAAAAATACAAAGAAAGAAAAAGACCAAGAATTAGTGTAAGAAATCATTTTAACTAGGGTCATAGATGTTCCAGGTAAACTGAAGAACATATATTTATACCCCAAAGAAAACTATATGAAGTTATGTCCAGAATAAAACTTTTTAGACATTTACTGCAACAATTCAGGGTGTTTTTAAACACTGCCAAATAATAAATTACATTTAGGCTATGACTTATTTCTGTGTAAAAGCTATAATGAATAAAACTGAACTATTGCGATCTTGGCAAATTTGGCTATGCAGGTTTAAAAAAAAAAAC